GCCGGGAGGGGGAAAAGTAATTGATGCGTCAGCTCGGTTTTTAGGAGCCATAGTAGCAAGTACCTGGAGTACAAAAACAAAAAAAAAAAAAAAAAAAAAGCGTGATTCGTTTACTTATAGGTGGTTTGGCAACACCGAGTGAGTGGGGTCGAAGGTCACATTTCATTACCACTTATCACGAGTATAGTAGCACGTTGCACAGTATTTTGTTTTCGTATTTTGTCTTTCATCTTCGATAACGTTGATGAAGTTTTACTGCTGAGTTTAAACTCAAGGCTGAGAAAGGAAAAAGATGGAAATAGAGAAGCGGGCCGTTATTGGTTTAATCCTAGTATTCGGTGCACACGGGATTTGGCTACTTTTGGCGACTTTATGATGAGCAGTAAAAACGGGACATATACGATGAGTAGTTAATGGGTCATTTAAAAAAAATATATAGTTTAACATAGTATATACTACATATATAGTATATATACTATGTATATACACACATAGTATATAGTGCATAGTATATATATAGACGTTCTTTGGATCATTTTTGGTGTTGGCGATAATTTTCAAAGTCGCGCCAAGGCTGCACCGTATACTAGGATTTTACCCCGTTATTTTGAAGTGGACGAGAAAGCGGTGAGAAATTGGCGCAAACAAAGGATGTGTTTAAAAAGCATGGGAATATTGCCGTATTAAAAAAACGTAATTTCGGACGTATAGTCCGCGGACTATCCGGTGGTGCGGACTATCTGACGATTTTTGAAATTTTTTTTATATAAAATCTTGCGTGCGGACTATACGATGGTGCGGACTATACGTGCGAAATTATGGTAATAGTTTTAATTATTTTCAGTACTTTAAACTATATTTTTAAAATAACTTAAATTCTAAGTTACGATTATTTAAGATTTCATAATTTTTTTCTCCTTAAGTGAGAGTAATTATGAAAGTGGTTATTATAAATATATAACATTAATATTAGGTTTTAAGTAAATAAAACTCAATCAGACTTAAATAAAAGTAAAGATATAAAGGTGGGTAAAAAAAAGAGCATTTCTGATAAAAACATTATCACATTTGTTTCTGTTAAATCACAGAGACATTGAAAATTGCCCCTGTCATGATAAATTAGGAGGCGGTTCTTAAGGTAACTTAATCAGTATTTTACCTGAACTTAAGTATAAATTTATTTGCGTTTCATAGCAAAAAAATATAACCATTAACTTCTATATCTCCAAAATATGCAAATGAAAGTCTGTATAAAGTAGTTAATAAATGTGATCAAAAATATTTCATACAAAAATATACCTAAATCTAATAACTTCCCATATTCATATCTAAAATGAAATAATAACCTAACAAACAACAGACATGAGAGTACTATTAAAAAAAAAACATGAACTAGTAGTGTTTAAAAAGTATAAGTAGCAGAAGGAAGGTAACAGAACTAAAATTTCCAATTAATAAAAAATTATTCGTGTTTTTTAAATAGTAAGCAATTAAAAGTGCAATAACTGTGGATTGCAGTATTTACTAGTAATATGATGTTTCTTAATACCATTTCTTTCGATCATATGTTAATGTATTTACTTATTTTTAATTTTTACATTTTAGAATAGTGGTAGATTACAATGATCATTTCATGCACTTTTTATAATCAATAACTTTTCTTTTGATACTTTACATAAATAATTAAAACAATATAGTATATGATAGTAAGCTAACTATGTTAATGTAAGCTCTTCGTTTTTGTTTTATTATGAATTTCTTTGTTATCATATGCACATAAAATGTAAGCAAAGAAAATAGAATATACTTAAATTTAATAAAGAATAAAACCTAATTTCCAACATTCATTTCTTGAGATAATCCAATAGACATACAAAACAGCAAAATTAAAAAAAAAACAGGAATTACACAGTATTTGGAAGAAAGCTACCAAGCAACAAGTAATAAAACTGCAATTTGCAATCAATTAAAAAATATTTAGTGTTTTTTAATATTACACACTTAAATATCGCATAATTATAGATTACAATATTTCGTAGTAATCCGAATGTTTCCTTAATGCTATTTTTTCGATCATATGTGGAATGTCTGAGAACCAACCTGTTCGTTTAATATGAGTGATATACAATATAGCACTTAGGAAGTTATAACCGAAACCGTGTATCCAAATATTGCACCGCTGGATCACTGAAGATTGGAGAACACCACCATGTAAATTTAATCACCAGAAACATAAAACACCAAAACAGAACACTATTTAACTGTAGGACGATTTTAGCACATTGCATTGTAGAGCAGATATTCACAAACAAAATAAGCAGAAATTCGTCATTACCGTCATGATTTCTCCTCAATTCAAAATAAACTGCCATCATTATATTCTTTTCCATCATTCTCTTGTTTTATTGAAGTTCTCCAGTATTTAATTCTGATGGTGAATTACAAAACCGTGAAGAAAATATTTCTGAAAATAAAAAGGAGTCTGAAATAATTGAACCGTTAACTGGTTTGTTCGAATTTGGCAGTTAGCCAAAACGCGCAAGCCTTGACCGCAGATGTTCTTTTATATAATCATCCAGTAAATACATAATATTTACATAGAATGTCAATCTTTCAAGCAGTAGTTCAGTCTAAACTTTTTAGTGGTTTATACGATGGCATTAAAACTTTCGACGGTTCTTCTTTTAATTTAATACTCGTAGAATCTTTTTTAAATGGCATAGAAGAACTATTTCAACTGAATTGAATTACGAACAATGTTCACAAGATTATATTTACCAAAAAAAAAAAAAAAAAAAAAAAAAAATATTGGGCTCGCTAAAACATTTGTAATGTCAATATCACCAAATCCCGAGTGTACCATATACTAGGATTAAACCAAGCATTTTTAAATGCATGGAGATGGACAAAAATGTAACAAACAGTTCATCAGAACTTTTATAAGTAATGAATTTCTAATTTTTTTTCACAGTTTCTCTAATTTTTATGTCAACATTTATTAGTAATTTATCAAAGCCATTAATTTTGTCATTTTCCATTAAACATGTTAATATTTCTTTCTCCTTTTCCATTAATTTTCCGTCGGATATTTTGGACAGCCATTAAATATGCATGGATATGCAACATCTTTTAATATTAGACATTTTCTCGAAATTCTTAAAATCGCCCCATTTATAATCGTGAATACATCTTCACTCACAGTCATATCTTTGCGAAAATTGCACTTCTTGCTCTGTATGCGGTAAAAGTGTTTCATATTATGTCAGCATATTAATTCAAATAAATTCATCCTTACTTCAAAAATAATAAAGTCATATTTCAGCAGTAAAATAATTGCTAACATGTGATTTGCATTCATTTCGGAAGTATGATTTTTAAAAATATATAAAATGCATAACTTAATAACTTACTTTATAGATTAGTTTCATTTTTAAATATTTTGGTATAATATTAAAAAATATTTTAAGTATTAATTTTTTAACAAAATTGTAACAATAATTTAGCACGTATTTTAGTACTAATTACATTTAATAATTCAAGTATTTATATTAAATTTATATTTCATTAGGTGAATCTATCTTAGATTAATATATTTAGATGAAATAAAGTAATGAAACATTGCAAAATAAATCTTATGTGGACTTCAGATTCTTGAAAGGGCAGATTTAGTCTCTTTTCATTCGAAAAGTAACGCTGATGAACTATGAGAAAGATGCTAAAACGACCACGTCTAAAAGTGGTCATATCCTGATGTTTCAGCGACATCGACAAATTGCCAAGATGCAACGCCAAATATTTTGCATCTTTGCAACGTTGTAAAGACATCGTAAAAGTTACCAGGACCACTTTGCAACGTCATTACTATGTTGCCGTGCTACTTGGGTCAATATCACATTAATAGATTCTGATAGTATTCCATTCTTTGAGTAAGAGCACTGAAAAACACAAAATGTGCACAAAACACTGTTTCACTCATGAAGTTGCTGACTTTCAAAGCACTTTGGATGTTTAATTTTCTTTTTATGTGATGATCGTAAATGCATAAACATCACGAATATTCAAAGCATGCGAGAACCAGTAACCATATTTCACTACGTTGGCGGCACTGACCTTGATTCGAAATACTTTTTGATTTTGAACTTAGATACTTGAAGCACTTTTAGAATATTCTTTTAACATGTTAAATCACACACCGGAAATGAATTTCATGATTCACTGGAAGTTTGAGGCAGCAGAGTTCGAAGACTTGGGGAAACTAGCAGGTTAATCCTGTCTTGACTTTTTATAAATATGTAATGATTTTAAAATGCATAGATGAAAACAGTGGAACTTTTAACAGCTTAGATACTACGTAGATGACTGAGAATACCGTAGTGGGTTGAAGGTGGCAGAGTGGAAAGCACGATGACGCAATTTAGCACAACATATCTTGAAAAATCACAAAATTTAATTTTGTATATATATCAAATCATCCTTTTTCAGACAAGATGTTTCCTAATTATATCTGAATACAGTAAGTTGCATTTTGAAGTACAACGTCGTTTTAAGCAAGTAAACGGCAGCAGCATACATTAAAAGCATCTTGCCAGTAGGAGAGCTTATGCAAAATAGGCAGAGTATCATAGAACTTCAGAGGAAGAAGGGTAGGAGTTGGAAAATTTTCAGTTCAGAGTTTTGGTTTACAATTAATTTGATTGGACAAGAGGCATCTGCATTAAAACATTACGTAAGGTAGAAAAATCTCGAACCTGTGAGAAGAGATGAATTTAGGGGCAGATCACCAAATTTAGAATCTTAATTTTGAGGTTGCCAATTATTTTTTTCAAACAGCTATCATATTTGTTACATCTTACATGTATATATAATAATAATAATAAACTTTATCAGTTTCTAAATTTTTAATTATATTCATAATTCTATTTCTATTTAATTAAATTTTCTAAATCTTCGTACATAATTTTGGTGATAGTATTATATAACAGATTCTCTTCTCTTTACAGGTCAATGGAAAACTAATAATTAAAAGTGGAACAGATTTTAGGGAATTTTCTAAAATTACTTTAAATTTCAATCATAAGCCAGTGCATGTGGATGTTGGAAAAACTGAAGTAACATCTCAGTTTGCAGAAGATGAAGGGTTGAAAGAGGAGCTTTCTTGTTATCAAGGTATTATGGTTTTTAAGTTGTGTAGTAGATATTTTTTGTTCTTTCAGCCACTGCTAGGAAGTAGATTTTTGGCTTTTGTAGATCTTCGAACTGTGGATTGCTGACAATGTATTTTTAATTTTTACACAAGTTCTGTTTCAGAGTAATATGTTTCATCATCACCAAGCCATTGTTTACCGACTTGATTTTTTTTACATTACTTTGGCATTCATACTTAGTTATGCTCCCTACGAGTGAGTGTCTTGTGAATTCTGCATGACAAGTTATATTTAAATTATTGTGTATTGGCTTTATATGAATAAATTCGGCCTCTTTGCTCTATTTTGCTTATCATTGATAATATCTTTGTGGGTTGTTATCCATACAGTAATTAAATTGGTGATTAAATCCATACAGTAAATTAAAATAATTACAGTAATTAAATTTAATAAAATGCTAATTCATTAGCAATAGAGCATTTTTTTTGAGATCCAGGCTCCATAAAAATACAGCATATCACTTTCTTTCATGAAAACTTATTTCTCATTTTTCTTACTGAATTCTCAAGTCATTTATAGACTAAATTTGTAATTAATGTAAATAGAAAAAATTTTATTGGAAAAGGAATATGTTAATTAATAATAGTAGTTGGCAGTAAATAATATGACTCTTTTAATAAAGGAATAAATTAAGAAAAAGAATCAAATCTGAAAATATGAGAATTTGATGCTGATGATGTACAAGAAGAAAACATTGATAAGTAGAAAAGTTAATATTTCAGTGAAAAATGATAGAAATATTAAGTTTAACATGCATCTGGTAAAATTTAACTCATTAATCTCATAATGGAGAAGAAAAAGAAAAATACATATATATTTTCAGTAACAGTTTTTTAGCTGAGGTTATTTCAAAAGCCCTAATATGTAATTAGCACACCTAAGTTGTATAACATTTTTTAAATCCCCCCCCCCATAAAAAGGAGATTGATTTTTCATATAAAATAGGAAGGAAACCTCTCATTCAAATACTTCTCTTAAATAATCACTCTGGAAATGGTCAACATATCTGAGATTGTAATTAAATAATGATATTCAGTATCAGTATGGTCTGTGTAGCAACCATCTGTTTGAAGGCCATAATGTTCTAAAAGTAAGAATGATTATTTGATCTACATTTTCTGTAATTCTGATTGATTTTTAAACTTTTTATATCATTTTATATTTATTTTTATATATAGTGATTTTTAGCGAGATTCTTTTTTTTTTTTTTTTTCTAAATCATTTTTCACCCTGTAGAAAGTATTAAAAAGTTATTGCTTTTTGAACTTTTAATGGAATTCAGTCATTAACTTATTTAATGTGCATTTGCACAAAATTGTTACAGCATTCTCCAGACGAAATGAAATTTCAGCAGTTAAATTAATTTTTACAGCTATGAATATATTCACCTTCCTCCTTGTTATAAAACTAATATTCAATATATTAAATATTTTATAGTGGGGGAAAGAACTTGGACGAGCATCATAATTCATGTTTTATAAATTATGTACTTTTTTAAATTTACAGTATTTTTCCTGAGATATACACTAAATGCTTTGTATGTTACAAAATTAGGTATATTTTTTCCTTTATCTCTAAACATCTTATTATGCAAATTTAGTTTCTGTAAGTTTTTTCAGGATATAATTTATGTAGTGTTGATGAGTATTTAGTATCCTCTATCATTCTCTTTTCTGTTTATTCTGATTAATTTTAAGGTTAGAATGAACAGAATTAATATGAATTGTCTTTATTAACTAGAAATTATTTTCTAAGACTATCAGAAAATAATTAAAAAGGCAGATTCATTTTCTACATCAAACAGCTCTTAGCTTATCATTTGTGCTTATTTTATGCTCTTGTTTCTTTCATTTTAGTTGCCGTAATTATTTTTGCTTACTTCTGTACTACTTTGTGAATTTTTATTGCTTAAAATAAAACTAGATATGGTTTCAAACCATATCTGTTTCAGTTGGACATGGTAGATGGAGAAATGGATAAAGCTCTAGGATATTTTTCAGTAAACTTGGATGTATGATTTTCTAGTTTTAGAACTCAATTCTCTTTAGCAAATAGCTCACAGTTTTCCATTTTAACTTTTATTTTCTAACAAATTTGAGCTTATTTTGTATTGTTATGTCTAACTTTTATTTTAATTGCCACAATTACTTTTGTTTATGTAATATTTAATTGCTCAAAATAAAATGGTATATAGTTTCAAAGCTCTCTCTTTTTAATAGACATAGTAGCTGGGAAAATGGATGAAGTTCTGGGCCATTTTTCAGTAGATTTGGATGCACGATTTTCTAGTATCAGAACTCAAGAAACTAATATAGGTACTAACTAGCTTTAACTACTTCTTTTATTGAATTAAGTATTGCATTATTATTAAAAAGTATACATACATCCATGCCCAAATTGATTATTATTTAGTACAGTTATTTCATGTGTCATTTTGCCGAAAATATTTTTTAAGATTAATTTTGATTCTACATCAGGTAATTTCATCTGTGATGTCATGCTGTCTTCAACTCATGCTGATTTGGCTATGCTCAACTCTGGAACATTGAGAGCTGATCGAATTTTCTCCAAAGGGGATTTTACTCTTAGAGATTTAGTAACTCTCCTGCCAATGATGGATCCTATGATTGTTTTAAATGCACCAGGTATAAATATTTGACTATTGTTTTTTTCCTCCCAAATTATAATTTATTTTTAAATTCAAGTAATTGCCAGTGATTTAATTAGGATTTGATATGTAAATAAGCTAATCTTTTCTAAGAAATGTAGAAAATTATGGTCGTCCAAAAATCGATGAGACAGTTTAAAAATCAGTTAATGAACAAAATATAATTAATAAAAGTAAAGTTTTATACAGATATTATTGCAATAATTTAAAAGTTTTATCAAACTATAATCTATGAACCTTTTGTTGCTTAAAGCATATCTAATAGAAACTCAATTTTATTCAAAGTAGACATCAAATTTGATAGAAAAATTATATCAGTTTGATTAATATATTTATGTTTTGAATTTTATAGTGTTTTTGACATATGATACATGTTTTTTTTTAATAATTCCTCCCGCATGTACACACAAGGGGGAGGGATATAAAAAAAAAGGAGTATATATGGAGAAAAAAGTATTGTAATTTTGATCAGTCCCACAGAATCTGTTAATCAAATTCTTATTCTTATTTGTATAACTTTTCTCCAATGAAAGTTTGTCCCCTACTGTTGTCAAATAATATACAACTGAGAAATTTATGATTTGAAAAATGTTATTATATCCAAATAAGCTCTTTAATCCCAGTAAGTATGGTAAAAAAAGACTCTTTTTTGGTAGTCAAACCAAAAATAAATGGTACTTATGTATTAACACAACCACCTTGGTGCAATCTAGTGGTTTTTTACAGCTGAAGAGCTAAAAGTTACTTATCGGGTGCAGGTTGGTAATTTTTGTGACATTTTTTAAAGACTGACCAACTATCAGTATTTATTGTAAGTGGAGAAACATTATCAACATATCAACAGAAAGCCCACTTTAACAATTTAAAATATTAATTTCAATTATTAAATAAGAATTATTCAGTACATTAAAAAACAGATATTTTTATATCCTTCTGTAATTGCTTTTGCGCTGTTCTTCTCCCCATGTGCACGTCAGTCCATTTTCACTTAAAGAAACATGTGAATTGCATTAATTCAAAACTGCATATAACATCCCATTTTGCACCTGTTGTCCACCAAACATATCTCATTATTACCCTTTACCAATTTTGCAGAAAAGCATTATATTCCAACAAAAATGTTACCTCATTTTCTTCCACTCTGCCAAATTCCACAATCACAGAATTGAAGTTAAGGTGAAAAATATTACGATTTATTTATATACGTGATATATTTTTCTATAAAAGTTGTTGAAACTTGAAATACAAAAAGAGAAGAATACATACAAATATAGATATTGATTATTATACGATATTAGATATATTATTTATAAGATTTATTATTATCACAAATAAATAAAACAAAATATTTAAATTTTCTCAGATATTCATACAGTATTACAATATCTCACAGTAGTTATCTTTTAACTACTCAAACGTTCAAGAGAACTTAATTCAAAACAACTAAAGAAAGTTAATCCGTGATTTGCTACAGTCAACAAGAGCAGTTTTCTAAACAAACTCTTAAAACAACAACAAACTAACTAACTAAATGACAACTGAATTGAGAGGTTTTCCTCCTTTTATAAGATTTTAAATCGCGCGCGAGAATTTTCTGGAACTTTCTCGAAATCAAAATTCTCAAAATTTTCTGGCTTAGCTTTCCTTTAATATTCATCATGCGCTGCATTGTGCAGGGAATAAAACAATTTTATTTATAATTCTACTAACATTAACTAATTAAATACCAAATCTGTAACACTGCCCCCTTTCCAAGGATTGCACTTCCCGGGCAGTACAATCCCTGGACAGGAAGCCAAACTTAAAACCAAGGCATAGATGCAATAATAAAAATTACATTACAATAACAAACAACATGAACAATAAATGTAATAAGTAAAACAAATCAAATGTTATCAAATACTAAATACACAATTAGAAACAAAAAGGACCATGGTCTTACACTATTTACAATTATTTACACTACGTACTATGGCCATAATAATGCGTTAACCTGTCGTAATAAACGACTTTAGGTTTAGAATTCGAAGACTCACAGATCCGAATCACGATGTCATCAGCCTGTTTAGGAACGTGTGTGGACCCAAGGTGACTGTAATTCAGCCTGACTCCTTTTCGTTGAATTGGGTTCCACAACCACACCTTGTTGAATGTATATCCAGTAGTTGAATGTCGTACCTGGTCTTCACTTTCTCCGTCGCCAAGTTGACTCGCTTTTGTGCGGAACGGTGCATCATTTCAAACCGGATGCATCATTTCAAATCGCCTGAGGAACACATCCAAGATGTCCATCTTGGATTTGTGTTCCTCAGGCGATGAAGATGCAGCCGGATCCTTATGCCTCAACGATCACCAAACAGGCGGTCACAAGGCAGACAAAAGGTCTCGACCGAAGAGCATCTGGGATGGAGAATAGCCGGTAGTCTGGTGTTTCTCTTCGACCCTAGTATGATTTCGGCAGCTTCCTCCAAGTAGCTGGGTCTTTCACATGAGACGTCGGCGTTTCCAGGCGATGATCCCTTTTGAAAGATGGATCGTTCATGTCCTCAGATGCTGAGAACAGTTTCATTGTTTTTGAAGTCTAAGGAAAAATTATATTTCTTTAAAAAGTCCAATCCCAAGTATACATGCATCTGTAATATTCGCCACATATGCCTTGTGATGGTAGGCAGCACTTCCAAACATGATGCTTATGTTTAACTTCCCAGCTATGTCGATCTTATCACCAGATGCAGTCTAAAGGGTAACACAGGACGGCGTCCAAATAAGTTTAAACTGTTGAGCTAAATCTCTCCGAATAATGGTAATATTAGCTCCTGTGTCAATGATCATATTGCAAGCAACTCCATCGATGTGCCCATTGATGGGCAGTCCGTTACTGTTGCCACTCACTGTAGAAATCTTGAGCACTTTAAAATAAGGTTTTTATTCTCTGGCAACCTCCGTTCTACAATATCGTCATTCATTTGTTTCCTCCATCATTGCTGGGAAATGGTATCAATTTCCGTGCTACGGGGTGTTCTGCAGTTCCTTCGCACATGGCCTTCAGCTCCACAGTTTCAGCACTTTGGTTCCTTGTCACTCCATTTTTGTCCGATGGCATTTAATTGTCTGTTCAACTCGTTTGTCATATTTTCCATGCTTTGAGGGTGATCTGCACCATTCCGCACGAAAGCGAGTCAACTTGGTGATGTGGAAAGTGAAGACCAGATACAACACGAGAGCTACTGGACATAGATTCAACAAAGGAGACAAGGTGTGGTTGTGGAACCTGATTCAACGAAAAGGAGTCAGGCTGAATTACAGTCACCTTGGGTCCACACACATTCCTAAACAGGCTGAATGACATCGTGATTCGGATCTATGAGTCTTCGAACTCTAAACCTAAAGTCTTTCATTACGACAGGTTAACGTATTACTATGGCCATAGTACGTAGTGTAAATAATTGTAAATAGTGTAAGACCATGGTCCTTTTTGTTTCTAAATGTGTATTTAGTATTTGATAACATTTGATTTGTTTTTACTTATTGCATTTATTGTTCATGTTGTTTGTTATTGTAATGTAATTTTTATTATTGCATCTATGCCTTGGTTGTAAGTTTGGCTTCCTGTCCAGGGATTGTACTGCCCGGGAAGTGCAATCCTTGGGAAGGGGGCAGTGTTACAGATTTGGTATTTAATTAGTTAATGTTAGTAGAATTATAAATAAAATTGTTTTATTCCCCATGCAATGCAGTGCGTGATGAATATTAAAGGAAAGCTAAACCGTAAAATTAAAAATACAAGAGCACGTGCATTTAATATTTAATAAATAAATATCTCTTTTTGATTTCCAGAAAATTCTTGCACGCGATTTAAAATCTTATAAAAGGAGGAAAACCTCTCAATTCAGTTGTTATTTAGTTAGTTAGTTTGTTGTTGTTTTAAGAGTTTGTTTAGAAAACTGCTCTTGTTGACTGTAGCGAATTCGCGGATTAGCTTTCTTTGGCTGTTTTTGAATTAAGTTCTCTTGAACGTTTGAGTAGTTAAAAGATAACTACTGTAAGATATTGTAATACTGTACGAATATCTGAGAAAATTTAAGTATTTTGTTTTATTTATTTGTGATAATAATAAATCTTATTCATTTTTCATCAGACTTGTGCATTCAATTCCTAACGAATCCATATGCATGCAACAATTTTTGGTGTCAGAAGTGGGATAAAAATGAATAAGATTTATTATTATCACAAATAAATAAAAAAAATACTTAAACTTTCTCAGATATTCGTACAGTATTACAATATCTCACAGTAGTTCCCTTTTAACTACTCAAACGTTCAAGAGAACTTAATTCAAAACAGCCAAAGAAAGCTAATCCGCGAATTCGCTACAGTCAACAAGAGCAGTTTTCTAAACAAACTCTTAAAACAACAACAAACTAACTAATGAAATAACAACTGAATTGAGAGGTTTTCCTCCTTTTATAAGATTTTAAATTGCGCACAAGAATTTTCTGGAACTTTCTCGAACTCAAAAAGAGATATTTATTTATTAAATATTAAATGCACGTGCTCTTGTATTTTTAATTTTCCAGCTTAGCTTTCCTTTAATATTCATCACGCGCTGCATTTCGTGGGGAATAAAACAATTTTATTTATAATTCTACTAACATTAACTAATTAAATACCAAATCCGTTACAATATGTTGCTTGACTGAAGGATTATTATGAGCACGGTTGCCTAAACTTGGCATATTCGCAAAATGTGGTGACTTCTAATAAGATGATTGAGATAATATGCAAATCATATTAAATAAAGTAAAAATAAACTTTTTTAACCACTCTAAATTTCATGTTTTTGTTTAAATTTTTTCAAATGAATTTTTTAATTGTGTCAAATTATTTAGATATGCGTTCCCCCCCCCTACTTGAAATAGCTTAAAGACATTCTTCCTGAATCTGAACATATCTTAACTGTTTATAAATGTTTTTATTTAGTAAAGTTTAGAATATTATCAATGGGATTTAATAAGAACTGAAGTGTTATATGATATGCAAACAAAAAGTGATTTTATAACAGCCAATTTCCAGAAATAAGTTTCGTGGTTTATTTTTCATTGAATGAATTTAGTCATTTTTATGATGAACAACATATTTTCCCTTGCCAGTTGCTTTCTAAAATTTAATTTCCTCAAATATCAGAGTAATACATTATAACTAATAATAATTCACTTTTTCTCTTTGTCCTGTAAGTTATAAATTAAAACATAAGTAAAAATATGAATTATTATTAGTTGGAATAAAAAATTGAATTCTTATTAAATTGTTACTAATTATTAAATAAATTACAACTAACAATAATTCATATTTTCCATTCATTCTTTAACGTTCTGAGTGGCCAAAGTTTTTGCTCTAAAACTCCAAAAATTCCTAAACTAGAATGAAATAAAGATATTTCCTTGATTTTAATGCCTAAATGCCCATGGTACTTTATTACAAATTTATGTGTTTTTAATATATTGCCTTAATGTCTTGGGCATATTTCAAGATTCCCATATATTTAGTTTCTTAAAGACATTACGAAAAATATTTTAGGACACACACATATCTCTCTCTCTATATATGGTTTGACCAATGAAATGGTTAAGAAGGTGTAAAAAGAGGCTGGTAAGTTTCTGCCAAACTGTATTGATATATATGGGTTACAAACCTTAAAACTGGCTCAGAGAAATTAGTTTCTGCCATAAAAATGGCCATAACTATCTGAAACTTGTAACATAACTAAAAATTTATTTTAGTACAGTAAGTAGTACAGAAAAATATATTTTCTTTTTATTCACAACATAAGCTGTGGCTATTCAGATACAACGCATGTTCTGTCTGACCTTTTTCATTAAGCAGGTTGTAGCAGAAGAGTGATTTCACTGCTGTTTCAAAACTAAAAAATTTTCAATATATTGTCAATAAATAAAAAGCTAGAAAATATTCTGTGAAACTCAGCAGTATCTGCAGGCAGTGTTATCATTGTGTGAATAATAACTATCAGTTTTTATTTGCATTTTCTTTAAATTAGACCACCATGTAGAAGCTGAAATGTTTAATTCTTCATTGAAAAAATGCATATAAGGAAAGCTATAGGGCAGAAGCTGTGGATTTAGGTCATGCAATAATGTCTTATTACTCATTTGGTAATTTAGATCTCATTTAATTTGAAGGAAATATATAAGCTAGCATATAATATATTAGTTATTTCATGATTGAGGTTATTTGTAATATCTTTTTCAAAAGTTCCTGTAATATTATCTTAATTAATTATCTTAAGCTATTATTATCATAGGCTATTATCATCATAAGTATAAGCCTACCTTAACATCATTTTACTAACATAATAAAACAGTTAGCCATTATCTCGTGCAATAAAAGTGGGTTGTAAGAGCTGCAACAAATATTTTTTTTCTTTAATTAATAATCATGATATTATTTACATTTTGACTTACTTTATTGTCAGTGTCATATTTTACATTTCAAATACCTAAGTAATATAGATAATTTCCTATAAATGATTTCAAGAAATTTATCATATTATTCCGTCTTTATTTCTGGGTGTTGTGGCTTCACAGCATTTGCATACTCTTTTAAGCTGAATGCTTATTAATGGTGATTATTTAACAGATACTATTTGCTTCTTAGCAGATTCAGATAGTAAGCTGAACACTCAGAATCAAATAGACATTTTCTCATTTAGTCTATTTTACCCTCCTTATCTGTTATAAAAGTTTTTTTCTTTATACCTGTATTTCTTTCTATATTAATAGCTCTGGTATTTGTTTCTGCTTTTTGTTAATGGCATAAATAAAAAAATATTAAAAAAATATATTTAAAATACAAATAAAATGTAAAAAAAAAGGAGAATGCATGTGAAGAATTGCAGTTGGTATTTCATTTTACTTGGTCATTTCATTTTATTTTTGCTACAAATAAAATCCTTTCTTTAAAAGTGTATGGAAGCGGTGAGAAATTCTGTTATTCCTATAATATAGAGCAGCACAAATTTTCTAATAGAAACATATTTTATTTATCATACTTATAGTGTATGCAAAATGTTGCTAAAAGTATTACTTTTCATGTGTTGAAGAACCTACATGTTTTTGTAATTGTAAAGATAAATAAAAGATCTCATGCAACACTGTGTGATACACTTTCATGTTTCTGAACTTTTTTTTTTTTTTTTTTTTTGTTGTTGTTGTGGAAAAAATTTTGTCAACATTTAAGAATAGTAGCACCTTTTTGAAGTGTTGTGAAAATTTACGTGGATTGGATGTTTTGTTGTTGTTGTTGTGGAAAAAATTTTGTCAACATTTAAGAATAGTAGCACCTTTTTGAAGTGTTGTGAAAATTTACGTGGATTGGATGTGCATATCTTATGATTACGGTTTCAAAATTTTTTCAGAATAACATTGTTACAGATACTTTGATGCAATTCATCCTATTTTAAAGAAAAACACATAACGTTTTCTTACATTAATATGCTAATATTAATATTTGTTATATTATAATGTGGAGTCATATAGGTGCATATTAACATTAATATGCACCTATATGACTCCACATTAGTTGTATGCAAGAGTGTTAAAATATGTGCAGGTCGCAGGATTTGCTTAAATTATTTGACACTTTCTTAATGTTTCATTGATATCTAGACTGTATAAGCTTTACATATCAAGTAGACTAGCTCTTTCAACATCAAGACTTACTAGACATTTACTACATTACTAGACTCTAAAAATCAAGATACTTACTAGACATTTTGCTGTGATTGCTCATTTAATTCGATTTCCGCTCATTTCATGGACAAACTAATAATTAAGTTGAAACTTCAGAAGTTTTCTTTAAATGTCAAGCAAGGCGATAGCAAAGTCTCAAATAAGTTTTTAATGAATTTTTGAATTTGTTGGTGCAATTAATGAATATTCCATATATGAGTGGTTCTCAACCTTTTTTGCCCCATGCACCCTTTTTGCTATTTGCTAGAAAATCATTCCCTTTCCCTTTTCCAAAACTCAAAAAATAGATGCACATTTATTTAGATTTATGTAATTTTTTAATGACATAGCAGGAAGCAGGTGAAGTCAGATTAACTGCATCCCCCCTTAAATTATGGAATTCCTTCCTAAGGGGAACTCCCCTCCCCAGGTTGAGAATCTCTGCTATATATCCTGTGTGCAAAAGTAAAAGTATAGTGAAAATGTTGTTTTTGTTTATGAAGGAGAGGTTATTCATTTAACATTAGAGAATAGTGAATCCTGTGCGCATAAGTATAGTGAAAAATTTCTTTTCATTTATGAAGGGGAAGTTATTCATTTAGCATTAGAGAATGGTGTATCACAATATCCAAAATTAGAAGGCCGATTCCCTCAGGTATCTGGTGTCAGTTTTGCTTTTGATCCAAAGAAGCCACCTGGGAGTAGAATAGATCCTCGATATATAAAAATTGGTGATGAATATCTGGATATGAATCAGGTATGTTTATAATTGTGTTTTATTTTTCATTTAATAAGGAAGTCTGCATTGTGTTCAATGTTGTCATTTTATCGATTCTCATTTTTATTGAGAAGGTGTTTTACTGAAAATTGTTTTATAATTCTTGTAGTAGGAACAAATGCTCTCAATACCTGTGTTTTAATTACAGAAATATCGGTTTGCTACTAAAATGTATATGCACCAAGGAAGAGATGGATATGATATGTTGAAAGATTGTGAAATTCTAGTAAGTGTGAATTGATCTCATATTTTAAATTTCCTTTAAAGTATTTGTTATTCTATTATCTAAATAATTGAAGAATACAGCTTGCTTATTGTTTTCTTCAATTATTTACATAATAGAATAACAAAGAATAGATCAACTTTAGTTTGTTGTAATTTACTTACATGTTTATAATTTTTCACTGATGTACTTGGATTGTACAGAAATGATTGACACAATGGCTCTCACAATGAAACTATTACACTGTGTGACAGGAAAAACAAGTGAAATTGACACAAGGGGGGCATGAGCTACTCAGAATGCATCGATGGCGCTGGCCGCAAGCGAATGGTATAAGTCAGCGCCCATCCCTTTCGCCATCATCATTGAGAGCGTGGATAGCAATGATGGAAGGTGACTATCACGGTCAGTGTTGGACAGCATGGCATGGGTCTTAAGGAAGAAAGGGATAGAAGGTCATCGTCGCATGGTGTCAGTGTTGGGGAACAAAGCATCCTCAAGGCATACCGTATCCCAAATGGTTGGTCAAGTTCAGCAGTGGAATGGAGTTTGCAGCCAAAGGTGTCAGCGTAGGACAACCAGCAACATCACGCACAGCAGCAAATATGGCAGCTGTGTCAGATTTGATCATGGCGAACAGGTGCAAAGATGCAGGAAGAGACGCGGATTGCACAAGGAACATTGCAGGCAATTGTGCATGATGATTTAGAGATTACAAATGTGTGTGCAAAGTGGGTGCCTCATGCATTCACACCACAACAAAAGGTGAATCACATCGACATCTGCAAAGAACTTCTTGCACTACACGATGCTGATCCAGATGACTTCTTCGCCAGCCTGATCACGAGGGACAAGTCTTGGTTTGACATTTCCGAAAAAAAGCACAGCTCCATGGAATGGAAGCATCGAGCCCACGTCCCAAGAAGCCTAGGCCTGCATTGAACACGTGGAAACAAATAGTAACTGTGTTCTGGGATGTCCAGAGCATTCATCTCATGTACTGGCTAGAGCTTGGGTGTACTATCAACAGCAACCGGTAGTGTGAGTTTGCCAGAACGCTGCAACAGCACATGCCATGCCTGTTTGCCCGGATGGCAGGCATTGGGCTTCACTGTGTTGAGACATCCTCTGTACTTGTCTGATCTGGCTCCTTTGAACTATGTTTTGCTTGACAAGATGAAGGACACAGTCAGGGGCCAACATGTTGAATCTTATGTCGAATTGCATGCAATTGTCCATAGGTGCTGCACCAACACCTCAACAGACTCGTTTATCGAAGCCCTTCGGGACCTCCCAGCCAAGTAGCAGAAGTGTATTGACTTGGGATAATTGCTAACTGATGTACTATCAGGTTTTTGTTAATAAATTGTATTTCGCTCTGTGGCTGCATTTGTGTCATTCATTTCTGTACGACCTTAACATATGAAGTGCATACACACACATGCATTCATACAAAAGGACTCATAAGTTATGTTGCTTATGACATTAGCATATGGTGTGCCCATCATCTTCAGAGTAATTTACTTTGGCATTCACAAGCTTCTACATTCACTGTTGGTAACAGTGTCATTTTCTACGAGTTCATTGTGACTTGAATTCTCTACCTCAGGCAAGGTTTGCATTAGGGAAATCTTGAAGCAAGATTTGCTTTAAGAAAAGGAAAAAGTTACATGATGCCAGATCCAACAAGTAGGAGGATGTCAGTAATGTTCTTACTTGCGAAAAATTGCCTGAAAATTAGCCTTATGTGCCATGCATTGCCCTTGTGCAAAATTTGCCCATTTTTCCACAATTGAGACCTTCTTCTCCTCCCTTTTTCTTGAAATCAGTTTCAAATATCAATATTATAATCCTAATTAACTGCACCTCCAGCAGAAATCCACTCACACATTACCATTTCATTAATGTGAAAGAACACAACCAGTATTGCCTTAAATTTTAAATATGATATGTATCCTTTTTGGGGGGCTATGAGAATCAGGTGCACTTCCACTGCATAGATTGCTGCTTATTCTTTGTATCTTAATTAAAAATCAATTTTGTTAAAGGTGATTACAGATTCTAGCGAGTCTGAGTCATTTTGAATGCATTGTACCATGAATACAGGTGCTATTTTTGTTTGCAAGAGATTTTTCAGCACAATTTTGGCACAAATTTTCTTCATGTCGAATTCTTCTGTGATCTTCTGTTTCACGAAACAGATTTCATGTACAAATGGGCTAGTATAGTTTCTGCATGCATCTTCAGTTTTCAATTGCTTTTATTCAACTCGTGCTCTTTTGATGTAAAGACTGTTGCCTACCAGCATGATGAGAGTCTTCAACACTTTCCGTCTACTCTAAGGAACATTAATGCTATTGAAAGATTTTTATTCTGGATATATGAGTATCACTATGTTCTTCAGTCAGTGTTCAAAATGTTTTCATTGAGGAATTTTACATTTCAAAAGGATCTTCATGTTAATCATTTGCTTTATTTCCAAATCATTTCCACAACAGTATAGTTATGTATCTTCACACGGTTATGCTTCACTAACTCAGAGCATTTTCTTCACTTTTCAACACTTAGACAATATTTGTTAATTATATTAGGAGTAGCAATTTGTTTACTAGTATTTCTGTTAACATTTGTTTCATTATCTCTCATAAATTTGTTTTAAGCATGAATGAGATATATCATATTTATTTGCATGCATCATGTGCACACAAATCAGGTGAATAAAACTGAATTTTTGAACTAAATTACATTATATCCTTGTTTATAATTTAATTTTTTGCTTTCAATTTGAAAATTTTTTAATTTAGTTAAATGAAGAAGAAAGTCCGGAGCTACGTACAGCTGTTCAGAATCACTTCCAGTCCATCAAGATAGTCACTGGTGCTGTAGATCACAAAAGTCGTCATAGACAGAGCTTAATATGCTTATCTCGAAGGTAATTGAAATTCTGACCTTTTTAATATGTTTTAAACGAATGAAAATTTTTAGAGTAATTTAAGAAACTTTAATAATTTCGTAAAGGCAACTTTAAAAGTTTCTTATAAAGAGAAATTTCTATTTTCTTTATAAGAAACTTTTCTATTTTCTTTCTTTATTATTCTATAAATTAAGAAATTATTAAAGTTTCTTAATTTATTGAATAAAAGTCAGAATCTTTTATCAGTACTTTTTACATCTCTGTTTAATTGTGCCAGAATTTATTATAAAGGATTATATGGCAGGATTCAGCAGTTGTTCTTTTGGATTTTTATTTTTAATGGGTTAAAATTGTGTTTAATTTTGTTTACATCTTTTAAATACAAATTTAATTTAATTTTGGGGAAACAAAAGTGTTCCGCTGGTACACCTTATTTTATCGCTCTTTTTTGTTAAAAAATGGCAGCTCATAGGAATAAAACATTGAAATAATAGGAGATTCAGTATGACTCACAGTATCAGATTTTTCATATGGTGATTCATTGATCTGTGGTACAATAAGTGACCTTGAATATTCCAACTATCATTTCTTATGTACAGTGAAGTGAGAGCTTGATCTTGCCAGTCATGTGAAAGTAGTAAATGAATATAAGTGCTTCATCCATGAAATAAAGGATTATTATTACATTTTTAGTGGGGGAAAAGATCTCAAGGAGCCAGATATTGATCAGGTTTTCCTCATAATATTGAAGAACCATGTCTATTGTGTACAGGTAGGAAAGCCATCATGCAGACATTACAGTTCAGATTTAGTCCCCAATGTCATTGCAGTGATTTAAGAGTAAATATGTAGAAGAAAGAACTAAAAAAAAAAACATCTTTGAAGAGGGCATAAAGTAGCTCCCAGAGCACTAAGAAAGCTACACTATAATAGACAGGTGACCATGTAACCCTTACAATCATTCAAGTGATATTTAAATACTCTTGTATGCATGATAATAATACTAATCATCTTTGAGAAATTTAATATCAGTGCCCCCCCCCAAAAAAAAATATCTGTTTTTCTGTTTTAGGTTCGGTATTATGTTGTATACCTCGCCAGAAAAGATTTGTGAAAGTACAGCATATTTCAAAAAGAATATACGTATTTCAAATGCATATATTTATTAAACTGTATGACATACAAATATGAAACTTTACACACATATGTAAGAACCTCGAAGTTCAGATTACAGACGTCAATATGTCCTCCATCAGTGACACGAAAAATATTACATCGATACTCAAATTCCTCTCATACTCGGGCAAGCATGTCTGTCATCACTGATATTATGACAGTGCGGATCCGATTCTTCACCTCTTCCAGGTTCTGTGGAAGTGGTGGTACATAAATGTTGTCTTTAAAGAAATCCCATAGGAAGAAGTCACAGGGTGTCAAATCCGGTAACCATGGAGGCCAGCTGAGACATGCTAAGTCACCAGCTCCTTGACGACCAATCCAATGGTTTAATAGAGTTTCGTTCAGGTAATCGCGCACTTGGCTACACCAGTGAGGGGGTGCCTTGTCTCGTTGAAAAATGTTGTTGTCTTCGTGCAGCCTCAGAAACATCCAGTTTTGTAACATAGTGAGATACTGCTGACAGTTAACCGTGTTTCCATCAAAGAAGAATGGGCTATAAACAGATGATCGGGATATCACAAAAAACACATTGATTTTGGGCGAATCTCGTACATGTTCAGTAGCTGCATGTGGGTTCTGTAGGCCCAAATTCGAACATTGTGTTTGTTTACATGACCACTAATATGAAAAGTTGCTTCATCATTGAAAACGATGTGTTGTGCGAAAGTGTTATCATTGTCAATAGCATCAATAATCTCGTTACAAAATGCCGCATGTTAGCATTTGTCATCAAGACACAGAGCCTGTAACAAATGTAACTTGTACAGCTTCATAACCAACCAATGTCTCAAACATGCGAAATTGTTGTTGTAGGCAGTTGTAACTCCCGACTGACATGACGAGTTGATTTTGAAGGACTACGTTGGAAAGCAGTTTGAATTTGTGCAGCATTTTCGTCAGGAACACGAGGACGACCAGCGCTCTTTCCTTTACATACACATCCTGTATTTACAAACTGTTGATACCATTTGCGAATGTTCCACCCATTCAGAGGATCACATTGGTACCTCAACTTGAAACGTTTTTGCTCTGTAATCACGGAATTGCACTTCGCAAGCTCGAGGACACAAAATGATTTCTGCTGTGAAGTGGCCATTTTAGCGGCTATTAATATAAATTATACCATGTATTCGTTTCACCAATAGCCAAGCCGAGGCACAGTGATCGATAGTTTGGACAAAATAACACTTTGTTGTAATACGTAAATTCTTTTTGAAATACAGTGTATATAATAATTTTTTAGGGAGATAGAGGATTTTTAAAATTATCCTTTATTTTTATTTTATTTCTTGTTTCATAAATTTATTCAGTTATCATAATATTGACCATTTGTATAAAATATTTTCACTGAATTTATGTATTAACCTGTTAGGACTGGTGCTTGCATACATTTACAGAGTTGCCAACTCTCCCGATTTTCGACCGCTCTCCCGCAAACCCGATTTACAATATATTTCTCCCGACTTTTTCTTATTCTTAAAATTTCTCACGAGTTTTGTGGAACTTAATACTTTGTTATATGAAAAAAAAGAAAAAAAAAAGTGATTTTGAACGTCTGATAGCAGTTGAATTTTCTCTAGATTATATCTAAAACAAAACCTTGCAAATCAGATAACTTCTGCTTTGGTAATGAGAGCATATACGTATCCAGAAACGTCGTTCTTCAGTTTTCCATTAGGCATCGAGCTCCACTGCGTGTCATCTGGCATATATTAGCCAATGAGGACAAAGCAAGCTGTTATTTAGGTGTTCTTTAGTTATTTTGTTCATTTTGTCCTGAGTTGTGTGAGTACACGTGCTTTCAAGAAATAGTTTTAGAAATTATCATGTTTTGTTATGTCTGCGAGAAAGGTGAAATACTCGTGTACATTTAAAAAATCGTACACAGTTGATTTTCCTTTCATTATTTCCTCAAGGAAATGTAATAAATTTGCGATGTGTAATGCCTGTCGTTGCGATTTTTTGATTTCGCGGGGTGAAAGGGCGATGTTCTCAAACATGTGCATACACAAAAACACAAGGACAACATGAGTTGTTTTGAGAAAAGCGAAAAATTAAATTTTTCTTCGGAAACAAAGGACAAAAAAGTTATTAATGCAGAATGTCTGTTCTCTGCTTTTTTACTGGAGCACAACCTGCCACTGAATGCATTGGATCACGCTGCAGATTTATTTAGAAAAATGTTTCCCTATAGTGAAATCGCTAAGAAATACTCAAGTGCAAGAACCAAAACAGGTGCAATTGTTAAAGAAATGAGTTTGAAAAATAAATCTTCAGTTATTGATTGCGTTAAAACATTCCGTTCTGCCTCTCTACTGATGAAAGCAATAATAGAGATTCAAAACTGTATCCAGTTGTTATTTCTTTTTTTAATCCAGTCTTCAGAAATTGAGTGCAGTTTACTTTCTGTCATCACTTTAGAAGGACATTCAACAGGCTTTAATATAGCACAGCTAATTATTAAAACTTTAAAAGAAAATGCAGTCCCTCTGGATAATTGCTTAGCACTTGGTGCCGATAATGCACCAGTATTGGTAGGCATGAAGGCTGGTGTTGCAGGTATCCTAAGAAAGGAAAATTCAGATTTACAGATTATGAGGTGCACCTGTCACCTCTTAAATTTAGCAGCTGAAAAAGGGGCAGCTTCTTTACCAATAAATGGGGATGAACACATTGTTGATATTTATTATCTTGAAAGGAGTTCTAAAGGGAACGAAAAATTGAAACAGTTCCAACAGCTGCATAACAGCAGTTTACAATTAGAAAACTTGGGATGAAGTTATAAAATCAACTAGGATTGACACCCAGTGGAGTTTAATTGGAAAACTGAAAGGTTCTGATGGAATTTAAAATATAGTGAACTGTCTAGAATTACGTTGGCCATCTTGACAGTTCCCCATAGTAATGCAGAGTGTGAGAGGATTTTCAGTGTTGTTGGGAAACCGAGGACTAAATTTAGATCTAATATTAGTGATGACACATTAGAAAAACTTTTATTAGCAAAAGCAGGCCTACGTGGCAATTGCTATGAACAAAATTATGAAGTTTCTTTCTTAAAGAAAGCAAAATCTGCCACTTTTTATTACATTTGTACGAAAACTGATTAAGAGTCTTTTTTTTATTATTTTATTATTTATTTATTCTTTTGTTTGTTTTATTAAACGATGCAAGTAATAAAAATATTTTTTATGTGTATTTTTGTTAAGGTATTTTTGTGTTGCTTGCAATTAAGAATTAGTTACTATTTAAAGTTAATTCATTATTAAAAACTATATTTTTATCATTTAAAAAGTCTTTTTAACATTGTGAAAGATCTGATTTTTTAAAAAAATCTCCTGATTTTTGCATGTCATAGGTTGGCAAGTATGCGTTTAAAATACTTACAAAAATGGTGTGATTCTTTATTTTCAAGAGGTTGTTTCCTTGCAGTAATTATTGTTATTATTATTATTTAACTTTCATTAACCTCTAAAGGATGTTATGTACTTCACAAAGGAAAGATTGTCTCTCTGAAAGATGTAAAGGATTAACCCTTTGAACGTTATGACCGGCTTTATCCGATCATCAGAAGATTTGCTACTTAGCATATATTAGCTTATAATTTAAGATATTTTGCTTCTTACTTTCTTTAATTATGTAAGTATCATCTTAATGAATGCAAGTTTATGAAAATACAGACTAAAATAAGTAATTATACAAACTCAATTAATAAATGCTGTTTAAATACCAGTTTTCATGATAGATCTAAAATCCTCGTCACTCAGAGGGTTAAATCTCCTACCTGATGGATTACTTGCCTTTTGCAGCTATGGAGGAAAAAGGCAGGATGACTAAGCAAC